TTGGGCCTCCTCTTAACTGCTGCTGCTAGCACAGAACATCTTCCTGAATCGTGCTCCATGGATCAGCTCTCTGTCTCTGGACCTGGATCCTCTCCTCACCCCACCTGTTTCATTGGACTCAGCCTTTCTCTGCTTCTGAGTTTTAGCAAAGCAGCTTCATTTATATACCGCTTCATATCATGCTATAGGATGTCTAAGCGCAGGGATAGGCAACCTTTCCCCTTTAAGGGCCGAGGGACTTCAGCTCCCAGAATCCCAGGAGCTATTGGCCAACATGGGACTATTGGCCAACATGGATGAGGCTTCTGGGAGCTGAAGTCCCTCGGCCCTTAAAGGGGAAAGGTTGCCTACCCCTGCAGTGTAAGCGGTTTACAACTGTAAGCTCATTGCCCTCCAACAGTTGGGTCCTCATTTTAGCGACCTCGGAAGGATGCAGGCCTGAGTCTAGTCTGAGCCCTGGCTAGTATTGAATTCGCAACCTTCTGGTCTATGAGTGAGTGGTCTATGAGTGAGTACAGGCATTTAACCACTGTGCCGCCAGGGCTCTTTTAGGTTGCTAACATCCCACTCTCATGTTTGTTTCAAGGAGGCTGACCATGACTTTAAGAGCATGCGGCTTGATTATCTTCAGGAAGCTGCGGGAGGTCTCCTCTGCTTCTGCTGTTGAGAACAATGTCGAATACCTCCTCCTGCAGACCTCCTATGGGACTCACCATTGGACCCCTCCGAAAGGTACATCATTATTCCTGTTATCTGAAGCAGTTCCTTTGGATTTAGGGAGCTGGGTATGTCTAGCCAGGAGAACAGAAGGTTAAGAGCCCTGTGTAAATATTTGAAGGGATGTCACATTGCGGATGGAGCAAGCTTGTTTTCTGCTGCTCCAGAGAACAGGACGATGGAGCAGGGGTAGGCAACCTTTCCCCTTTAAGGGCCGAGGGACTTCAGCTCCCAGAAGGAACTTCCTGACAGTAAGAGCTGTTCAACAGTGGAACTCACTGCCTTGCAGATCTTTAAACAGAGGCTGGATGGCTGTCTGTCGCGAGTGCTTTGATTGTGTATTCCTGCATGGTAAGGGGTTGGACTGGATGGCCCTTGAGATCTCTTCCAACTCCATGATTTCATTGCCTTTAACTGATTAAAAAGCCAGCATGGTGTAGTGTTTGAGTATTGGACTATGACTCTGGAGACCGTTTGAATCCCTGCTCTGCCATGGCAACCCACACTGGGCACTGGGATAATATGAGAGAGGATGACACTGGGCAAGTCATCCTCTCTCATATTATCCTGTGATAATGGGCTGTCTCATTTATAATCTCTCCTCCAGATACACAAGGGTTAAGGATGTGTTGGTTTTAAGTAACATTTTTCCAGTGATGTATTCAAGTCTTTTACTCCAAGTCTCAAATCTCTACCTTCAAGTCTTAAGTCCTTGCAAGATACCTCCAAGTTGAGTCTCAAGTCTGCTGCTCCTAAGAAAAGCTTTAGAAGGCTCCTTTGATGTGCAGCAGAGGGGGGTTGCAGACTGCCAGAAATAGTGCAAATTGAGTCCACTTTTAGGGTTAGAGCTAGGGTTAAGGAATCATAGGAACTGTAGTTTATTGTGGCACCAGAGCTCTCTGACAGAGAAGGCTCAATGTCTCAGAAAATAATACAGTTCCCATGACTCCC